GCCTCGGTCGAGCAACGCCTGTCCGCAGGCAGGCAGGCAGCATCCCCCCCGATCCCACCCGCTGGCGTGAGACAAAGCTTAGGGAAGGATTCGGGCTCGGCTGCGGCTGGGGACGCGCGCGGTCCCTCCTCGGGCTGCTGCCCCGACACCCGGCCCGAGGGCACCGTGCGCAGGGGCTGCGGCTGGCTCCGGGGCCTCGGGTCTGCGGCGCAGGCTGGCATGGTGATGCCACGGGGCCCCCTCGCCTGCTGTTTTGCGGCAGCCGATCGCTACTGGGACTTGTTAAGAGCGTGCTTTCAAACAAAGGTATTCCTCAGTGCTGTGAGATGTGTCAGCAGCACAAGGGTTAACCCTGCTTTCCCTCTCTTTCCATGGTGAACTCGGTGGCGTGGTTGGGGATAACCTCCTTAGCGGCTGCGCTGCGGCAGCGATGCCCCTGGGACAGAGCAGCCCTATAAAATGGAGCTGTGCGCTGCGGGGCACCGCTGGGAAATGGTAGCTGAGCCGCCTCGGCGGGCAGGGAGCTCCCCCCACCATGCGCCCGCCCGCCGTCACGGAGGGGGGGCGCCGGTGTTTGGTCACGGGGGGTCGGGGGGCGGGAAACGAAGCTGTGCCCGCAAGGGAAGCCGTGGCAATCAGTCCCGGCTAGGGCTGCCCCGAGGGTGCTGGGTGCTGTGAGGGGCCAGCCCAGCCCTGACCCCGCAGCTCGGGGGGCTCCTCTCTGGGCTGGGCTCCAAAACGGCCGCGGAGACTCTGCTCCCCCTCGGCCGCCCGCAGAGCGGGTGCTCGGGGCTGGGGTCGGGGCTGGCAACGTGGGTGCACGCAGAGGCCTCGGCACCGGCCCTCAGGGCATCCACGTTGTGCCAACCACGCAGCCCCGAGCCCCGCGGTGGGGTCTGGGGAAGCCCGGCGATCCTCTCCCCGTCTGCTGTGTCTCAGAGCGAGCTCCCGCCGTCCTCCTCGGTGCTGGCACTGGCGCTGGTGCCCGGGAATTGTTTGCTGCCTGTGCTGTTGTGCCACAGGCCCTGTTTCTGGTGGCCACCTCCCCGTGCTGGGGGAGAAGATGGGTTCCTTATGCTGGAGCATTCATTTGCTCCGCTGATCGACAGCCTGCGGTCTGGCTGAGCAACCCCAATTGTTCCCAGTGTGCCTGGACAAAGAAGTGCCTAGAGAGATGGCAAGGCTTAGGAGAAGAGGACATGCTAGGAATATTTCCACTGCCTTGGACGCCACCAGTATTTTTTCACCGCTCCAGCAAGAATGGGAGGCAGCAGCCCAGTTTCACAGGCAGGCTGGGATGCCTCCCTGCCTGTCTCGAGCAGGGCGGGCGCAGAAGCTGGTCCCAAGGCAGGCTGAGGGCCGGTTCCTGGGGAGCGTGTCCTCAGCAACGGCGCAGCGCCGCACCGAGCACAGCGCTCGCCGGTGGGGCAGGCAGACGCCAGGGGCCTCTCCCCGGAGCACGGGCCACGGGAGCCCCACGCACCCCCAGCAGGGCCCTGCCGGCGTGGGGTGAGGAGGGCAGGACTGGCTTCACCAGCCACGCTGCTCTGTGCGGGGTTAACGCCGTCATGGAGGCAATGCCCTTTCCATTCCCCTGGTGCTGGTGCTCAGCCGGGCCAGGCACCACGCCGTGGGCTTTGCCTGGCACGGGGCTGACCTCCAGGCTGCTCCTGGGGCCCGCTGCCTGCCGGTTCTTCTCCCCGGCTTGTCTCACCTGCCACGGCTCATTCCCAGCTGTTGGCCAACTCTGAGATTTGTTGCCCTGTTTTGCAAACAGGAAAGCTGGGACAGGGATAAAGACCAAGCTTTCAAAGCCCTTGGCATGGAGCAGCTCCCGGCGAGGTCTGCGAAAGCGGGGGGTTCCCACGGGAGATCGGCCGGTTCCCATGCGACCTGCTCAAGGTCAGGCAGAGCAGGCAGCGAGCCCCGGTTCCTTCCTTCCCCGGCGGCCCGCGGGCTGCAGGCAGGGGCGGAAGCGGAGCCTGCGTCTGCTGCGCCACCTCCGAGCAGGGGGAGGGTGGCGGGCGCCGCCGAGGCTTTTGTTCTTGGGGCTTGGAGGGCTCACACGTGAAGGTGTTTGCAGTGGTGAGAGGATGCTGCGTCCGAAAGCGTCCCGGCTCACTCGGTCATTAGCATCTGCCGTGGTTGAGAATCGCAACTGCCTTGAATTGGTGCCGGGAAGCAACAGAGCCCGGGAGCGCAGCCCCCGTCTCCCGGCTGCCCCGGTGTGCTTTCGCAGGAGGCTGGCAGGGCTGAGCGCGTGGGATGCCTGGCAGCACGGGACCCCTTGCAGCCTGGCTCCTGGGGACCGTTCTGCCACCTCCCCCGGGTTCAGGAGAGACCGCCCGGCAGCGGGGGTGCAATAAGGGGGTCCCCGAGGCAGCAGAGGGTCCCCACGGTGGCGAGCGGGGCTGCACGAGCATCTAAGCGTGCAAGGGGGTGACTACGCTGCGGCTTCAGCACAGCAGAGCCGCCCCTGCCCCGCTGCAGCCCCCGCGCCTGTGTGTCCCCCCCGCTCCCGCCCTGCAGCGGGGCCTGGGCAGGAACGGGGGGGGGGCTGCGGCACAGCTGCCCCCGGAGGAAACGGGCCGAGAAAGCCCCCGGGAGGCAAACCGCTGCAGCAGCGCAGTTAGCTTCACCCCAAGTTGTAGGAGGCCCCTGTTTCCCCCGCGCCCACTGTCCCGCGGAGATTAGCTCCCGGCTGGCTGGGCTTGACGGGCAGCCGGAAGAGGCAGCGCAGCGAGCGCCGCGGGGGCCGCCCGGAAACCCGGGCAAAACGGGCACCGCGGCAGGCACCTCCCCACCGCCCTCGGGCGCCGGCTCGGTCCCTGCTCAGCCCTCGCCGCCCACCGAGCCCCAGCGCCGGGGGCCGGGCATTTGCTGTCACCCTGTGTGCTGGTGGCAACGCGGCGAAGCCGGGGCCATGCTGCGCAGGAAGGGCACGGCTGTCGTGCTGCGTTTCCCAGCGCCATGCTTGCCCCTGGTCAGCACGATCGGGAAGGCAACCCGGTTCCCCCGCAGTTGGCGTCACCTTGTGCCGGCGCCACTGGAGCCGGCTCCCTCCCCGCGCCCCTTCCCCGCCGGGGCTGCCGGCTCGGCTCATGCTCAGCCAAGTGCGCGGGATGGAAGGGCGCTCCCGGGTACCGGGGAGCGCTGGCGGCGGCGCGAAGGTCACGCCGCATCCCAGCGGCGCGGCGGCAGCGCTCTAATGCCGCTGATCAGAGACGCCCGTGGGGATTGCGGAGCAGCGTGGTGACCCCTGCGCTTGGGGTCAGCGGGCCGCGGCGTGCGTCAGCCCTGAGCGGCTTAATCCCAACCGGGCAGGGGGAGGAGCGCGGGGGGCGGCGGATTCCTGGCCCACAACCGAGCCTGGCATCTTCTCCGGCATCGCCGTGGTCCACCTCCCGCCGTAACCGGATAGGGTTGAGTGGTGCTGCCCTGGCACCGGGGGGGTGAGGAGAAATAATAGGAACAGGCAGCAGAAAATGTAAAGAATAAAAATTCCTTTTGTCTTGAGAAAGCAGCCCTTCGGACATTTTCTTCCTCCCTGAAATAGCTTTTCCTGCCACCCCAAAGGAGACGGACTATTTTGCAGGGCATTATTTCAGAGGATTTTTTTTTTTTTTTTTAATTTTACCGTAATCATGTGACAAAGCTTGTGAACGGCCTGATACGTGGGAAAATAAATACGCAAACACTGTCCCCGAGTTTGCCAGCAGGATTCCCCGAGCTGTTTCCCGAACACTGGGTTCAGCCCGTACGCGTTATCCGTTCTAGTCACTCGTGCGGGACTGCATGAAATGCAATGCAGAAAATGACTGGCTTTTCTGCAAGCTGAAAACCTGCGGGCAAAGCTGTGAGCTGCAGGGAGCCTTGCGACTCCCTTCTCGCAGAAGCCGTGTTTTTGTGCGCGGCTTTGGCTGGAGCAGAGGCAGGCGCAGGGAGCCGCAGTGCTGCTTCCCCCCCAGCAGGCTCGCAGGACGCCACGGGACGGTGAATGACTGCAGGCGTGGGCTGGAAACGGAGGGGATCTTACTGGTGCTGCTGGTATTTACCCCAGTGCTGCAGCTCGCTCCCTCCACTGCGACTGCCGAGTTTGTCGGGGACATGGGGATGCCTCGGGAAACGCCGGCGGCGGACGGAGCGCGCTGTGAGCGAGCCTCGTTCAGCTCCGCGCTGCGGGCACGGCGAGCTTGGGCTGCCAAGAGGCGCTGGACAATTGGACGGTTCGGCACGGGAGGAGCCTCGGCGCACTTACCATCTCCCGCTGCCCCGGGCCGGGCCAGGGGCTCCCCTCTGCTTCCCGACGAAGAGCTCACCCTCGCCGTTAGACAGCCGAGGAGTCGAGCTCACGGCGCTCGCGGGGTTTGGACCCGTGTCCAGAAGGGAGCGGCCTGGGCCTACCCGCGCCAGGACGCGCCAACTGCCGGCTAGAGAGCCGCTCGCCAGAGCCCAGCGCACGCAAACCAGATTTATCCGGTCACCCCCGAGATGCTTTTCCCCCTGTGCGCGGAGGCAGATGTTTGGCTGTTTAAGATTTAAAATCATCTACCGCCGAGATGCTCGTCAATAATGAGGCACGACTGGGAAGGACGTAACCAATCCATTTCTCAGGGCAGGAGAAGGGAGAGGCTCGGAAGCGAGCAGGCAGGGAGTCGCCAGGTCAGAGGCTCTCCTTGCCTCCCTGTCCGCTCTGCTGAATTCTTCCAAGCTTGAGAACGATTGCTTGTTTCTCTTTTTCTCAAAAAATCAAATTCTGATACAAATGGGGCAGGATGGGAATGAGTTTATTTCTTTGCTGTTTTAATACAAGTATCCACGTATTTCTGACTGCGATTCCTCATAACAGTATAAAAAAAAAAAAAGAGGTGAGTGGACTCGTGGCTGCTTTGAAACACGTGCAGTGTCAGGTTCTGCAGGATTGATGGGTCCTTCTGGGCCGCGACACCACTGCTTGTTGCACGGCCCTGTCTTCTCTTACAAAGGTGTTGGAGTCAGCTGGAAAGAGCGGCTCTGCAGGCCCACGAGGAGAAAATAAACATCCTGGACAGATGTCGGGTCAGGCCATGCAGTTTCAGCTGAAGCTTTCCAGACTGGTCTTGACCCGTTCCATTTCATGCAGAAAACTGTAGAACTGGGGCAAAGTTAACTCTGCAGGAAAAAGAGGCATCGAGTCTTACATTTCAGGTTACGCTTGCAACATTGGGAAAGCCACTCTGGTGCTACCGCAGAGCAACTCTGTTCACCGAAGCCGGCAGGATTAGACACGGGCACTCTCGCAGCCGTTTCACGCTAGCTGGGCTGCGCGGGATCCCGGGCTAGGATTCTCCCAACAGCAACTGACGCTTGGGAACCGTTTTACTTTCTTCATCTGCCACGCTGCTCTGGCCGCTTTTCACGGCTCTGCGGCATATCTGTATTTACTTAGGCAAAGACGTGAAGCCTGCCCCCAGTCAGCGCTCCCAAACACCTCCGGAGCGGCCGCGGCGGGAGAGGCCGGGGCAGGAGCAGCGGCAGCAGCCGAGCGATGCTCTCGCACGGACCCGCGCTGGGTCCGCGCCCAAGGCTCCCCCAGCACCCCCCGGGAGCTCAAGGCTCCCCCAGCACCCCCCGGGAGCTCTGTGCTGCCGCTCCGCTTTGCGCTTGCTTCTTTTCCAGAGCTGTTAACTCACCTATATACACGTTTTCCATTTGGCTCCCTTTTTTAATCACCAGCTTCAGCTTGGGGGAAGAAAAAGCAGAGGTATTTTAATTCAGAGAGACCTATATTCTGAGCACCACGAAAAGACAGAAGTACTGGGGCCTGCTGCGAGTTCCAGACGGGCGGAGCGCTGCAAGCACGCACACCTTTGACAGGCCTTTGGGGAAGTGTCACGGTAGGACCAGATCCCTTAGGTGCCGGGGGGATTTCTGGAAGTCCGTACAAACGACCGCGTTTCCCCTCCCTCCCCAAGGCAGCGTGACCTTTGCTAGAGCGAGCTTTTTGAACAGCTGTGCAGAGCGGGCTACGCTCCTGCGATACACGGTGTCTTCAGGAGAGAAACAACTAGCAGCGCGCCTGCTATCTGCTGGCAGTTGCACTGAAAGACCGAGGCAGATGCCCTGTTGCAGAGCCTGTTCCTACGAGATCTGGCTTCCCTCTAGTTCCTCTCGCGGCCGGTGCTTCCCACGTGCCTGGTCCCAGCTCGTTCCTTACCCGCGCTACAACCTGAACTCTCTGATGTAGGAGACTTACCTGTAAGAAGATACTTCCCACTTTTTCCAGTTCACTGCTCCCAGCAGTCACTGAGTCGGAAAGAAGAGAAGGGAGATAATCTGTTAGCTAAACTGTGAAATAAAAAGTTATTTAGCGGAGAGCTGCTGTTGGGTTTCCCGGCCCATTCAGTTGATGTTTTAGCTCTATTACCTCCAAACTTCCACTCCATATCTATCAGCTGGTTAATCATCAGCGTCTGACCAACAGCCAGGCGTGTTAGGGTGGGGGAATTCACCTTCCACTGCAAGAGCAAAAGACACACAAGCGATCAGTTCAGAGAGGCCTCTATTTATGTTACCTGCAATTCCAACATGAATTGGAGACTAGGCAGGCTGATGGCAGAAGTCAAAGCGGAGATGTGTAAAGGGGCAAACTAAAGCGGTCGGAGGGCTTTCAAAGATGTCCGAGTCCCACTAGGATTTCCACCTGCCTTGTGGCTGCTGCACGGGAAACTCGCCGCTTTTGTTGTAACACCGGTTCAGTGTAACAATATCTGCGCAAAAAGTCGCGTGTTCGTGTAACTGTGTGACCCCGGGGCTCAAAGCACGCAAAGGAGGAAAGCGATCAAATGAAAGCCACACAGAAGCGCAGGAATCGCGGAACCAGCGAGGTGGAGGCCACGGCAAACCAGAGGTATCATCAGACAGAGTTAGCCTTATCAGCTACCCGAGGATCTTCAGTTCAAAATTCTGAGCTGGTTTTGAAGAAAATACCCAAAGCGCTGACGCATCTCAGTATCGCAGCGGGGTTTTACAAGTTCCCACTCAAAGACTGTCATTTTGTTAGCTTAGAAACAAGCAGAAAGATATTAATACCTGTTCTGCAAAGTAACTGGCTTTCTCTTCACTGAGGCCTGTGGGGGAAACCAGAGGAGATTACTATACGTGATAAATATTAATTATCTTTTATTTAGTGAAAGTCAGGTGACCTACCTAGAGCAATAAAATCTGCTCTGACTTGTTCAGAAGACAAATTCCTCTTCAGGGCACCTGAATAAACAACGCAAAGAAGAAAAGTCACTTTTTACTGAGTCAAACCAATCTTTACGGAGTCAAATACAGGCAGGGAGGGAGACCCCGCGAAAGCAAGCCTCTGTTCTGGGGCTGTGTTTTGAAACAAACCACAGCTCGTCAAGATAGGAAATACAGTTGTGCCTGCTGGTATCTTTGCAGATGCCCAGTGCTTTAAAAGTCAGGGCGACGGGAGTGCCGGAGAGCAGGGAGAGATTTCATTGCAGGTAGCCATGGGAACAGCAGCAGCGGCTGTGTTTTGAAGTTGCTGCTTTCGCTCCTGTAGAAGCTTTGCTTGTTAAAGGAGAACTGTTAAGGCTGGCAGGCTCCTAATTTGACCTACCTGCTGTGTTTTGGATTATGGGTGTGAACGTGTGCATATAACACTTTCCCCTGCTGCGCCTGCCTCCTTTGTTCTGGGGCACAGGCAGCACATGGAAGTTTACAAGGATTCTGTTCTCTGAAGCCAAGAGCAGGAATCTCATCAATTCAAAGAGACTGCCAGTCCCACGTGGCTTTCCGTCTGTGCAGCACACAGGCAAAGTTATCTGCCGTAATCTGTTCCGATACCGGCTGCAGCATCCCAGAGCTAATGAAAAGGTACAACGGGATTGGAGCCAGTGCACGCAGCCAGGAACGACGAGACCGAGTGCACCTGGTCCAGAATCGGGAAGGGAGAAAATGCCGATTCCACGTTCAATACCCCCAAGACAGCTGTAGGAAAGGAAATTATTCATTGCTACTCCTGGACAGAAGAAATGGCTTGAAGCAGTAGAACGAAAGTTTAGAGCAAACGCAGGAAACAGTTGTGCATGCCTTCGCTGCTGGAAGAAAGTTATGGGGAACCCAGGATGGAAGGACAGCAGCAAGGGACTACCGATAACAAGAAGGATCAATGGGATGAACGTGCAGCGGAGGTGTGCGGTGCATTATCAAATGGCAGCCACGACATCGGAGTAATCTCATGAAGTGCTGAGTCTGGGGTATTCACGGGGAATCCCCCTGCCCCTCTTCCCCACTATTTAGGAATGAGAAACTGCTGGACACAGAAGCGTTTTTCTAAAACAAGACTGCAAGGACAGATGTCTCCTTTACGTGGCCTAGAACTATGCTGGTTTGCAGCCCACTCTAGAGCGGCGTGTACACTGTCTTATCTGCCCCAAAGAGCGCTTGTCCTTGCAGGAATTACAGTACTGGGTCACTTGGATGGAAGTTCCTACGAAGACTTGGTGCCAACATAAGGCTGCGCTGGTCTGGCAAAAATGGATTTACAGGTACAAGTTAAACCAAGCGCCGTCACAGTGTTGTGCTTGCATTTAATGCATAGATACTTAAGCGAGTTTAGTTAAGCCTGTGAAACGTGTGTGCAGGCAGGGTGTAAAGAATACAGCAAAGCCTGAGTCACCAAACAGGGACATTTCAACAGGAGAATTTTTGATTCTTAAACGCTAAGCCGTTTATTAGCTACCATTAGCACTTATTGTGCAAACCAAGCGCACTGCAGTTCTGAAGACACACTTTAGCAGCATGCAGGAATGGACGCAGTAGTTTGGCCTCAGGGTAGCATATGCAAATGTATCACTTACCATTAGGTACCAGAAGAATACTTTTGACAATGTTTTTCAGGGGGCCCAAGCTGATTTTATTCATGGTGGCAAAGTCTGAGAGCTGAGTCAGAAACCTTTCCACCTGCTCAAGAGAAAGAGCAGGGAGACAATCTTATCTCTGCATGCTTCTCACAGAGCGCTGCATTCACAGCTGCCCCTCCGTGTTCTGCACGTGCCTTACCTCCTTGGGCTCTGTTAGAAAGCGGAAGAGCACTTCAGTCAGCGCTGAGAATTGCTGTAAAGAAACAGGAGAGTGTTACGGAGCGGGGCATCAGCACGCTTCATTTCTCCGCACCTCGCCACCCCCATCACCGCCACGACTAGGTGGTGATGTTCCACCTTGACGCAGCTCCACCTGCCCCCAGTACATTGCTCCCAGAGTTTGACCTGCTGTGCTGGCAGGGTACCCCCGTCCTCGGCATTACAAGATGCCTATGGATGGGGCTTGCTCATGGATGCTTTTCAGAGACTCTCAAAGGGTTTGAGCAGCTGGTAGCTGGCGCTGCACAGGGCTTTTGTGACTCGTGGCTAATCGGAAGCTGCTGTTCTATCCTGCGTAATCCAAAAACTGTGAATAGGAAAAGACGCGAACATCTACTCTCATGTTTCACAAATCCCACGGGGCAACCAGACTAACTCGGGAAAGGAAAAGAACTGGTTAAAGGTCTAGTCACTGCCTTCAGTTTTCTGAGCATGCAGCTGGCAGGGCTGGAGAGCCTGCCTGTAGGGCAGGGCACCACCACCCTCCCTCCCCTGCCGGCACCAGCGCTGGCCATGACATGGGTACGGCCGGCTGCTCTGTGGCTGCACGTGGCTCATCCCGTCCTACCCTCGTCGTCAGCCCTGTGACCCTGTAACCGGGCTGTTACCCACGGTTCTGCCAAGCTGAGCTAAAAAAGCCTCAGCTCTTCCACCACCTCCAGCGCAAGCTGAACCAGCTTCTGGGATGCGGCTGCACAGCCGGTGTGTTGGCAGCCCGGAGGCAGACGTGCACTGCCAACCGGGACAAGAGGGCAGTGGGGTGGCAATCACAACCCCAGCGCTGTGCAGTCCGACCGAGAAACACCAGTGCTCGACAGGACCCCGCTGCCCACACGGGCACGACGCGAGCCCCTTCGTCAGGAACGCCCTGCAGCCCGAAAAACAAGCTGCCGCGGTGCGCGGGGCTCGCCCGGCCAGGCGCGGGGCCGTGCCGCTGAGCTCGGCGCCACGCTCCACAACCCTGCCTCAGACACCAGAAAACGCGGTTCCCTTCTGGAGCGGGCTGAGACCCGGCAGGGACCCTGGCACTGGGGCCTGGACTGGGCCCGGCACCGGCGCTGCGGGGCCTGGAGGCCCGACGGGGCCTGGCACCGGGGCTCTGGGGCCT